CATAGACCGACACGGTAGAAGCCCTTGCGCACATTCACAACTACTCCCATCACCTCGTTGTCGTCGTCGTTTTCGAGGGTCTCGCCGATCGCGGCGAGCTGCGCGTGCAGCCAGAGTTCGTCGATGGGGACGGAGCGCTTGTCCTTGAACTGGTATGACCACTTTCCACCGTGCTTGTTTTGGGGGTCCTCCCACTCAGGTCGTACGCCCTTCTTGAAGAGGTGGTAGTCGGCCTTGAGGCCAAGTTCGGAGGTCGGCGTGATGTTGTTCTAACAGCGATCGAGGTTAGTGTGATGGTTGATCGGGGGAGACCTCAGATTGAACATACATAAATGCCCCAGAATTCTTCAACGGAGCTGAAGGTAACGACCTCCTTAAGCAGGTCGTTCCAGTTATCGCCCTAATTTCCATTGGTAAGCATATTGATATCGATATACCCAACTGGTGTCTCCTACCTTGCCACTGGGGGGCTTGGTGAACCACAGGGTCCATTCGTGCATAAGAGGGTGCTTCACGTTGAAGTCATCGGGGTTGTGGAAGACAGTGACGGCATCACCAGTCTGAGTCTCGGTGACAGGAGCGGAGTTCTCATCGGCAACAGCCGGAGTACCGTTTTCTGCGACGGTAGCCATGGTGAGTGGGATGTGGAGGGGAGGGGAGACGATCGAGTCGGAAAGTCGGAGGGGCGAGAATTTCAGGGAAAGCGCAAATCAGAGCTTTTCACACAAAGAAGGTAAGAGGAATCCGAGCCTGGATCGAGTTAGCAGTAATAGTCTGCTCCAGGCAGTGTGAGATCAGAGTGGAGGTGGGCGACAATCGACTGCAAAGAGTGGAAGTTTTGAAGTTCGAGCCACAAAAACTTGCCTTGCCTCTTTGGGTTCTTCCGTAACATAATCAACCACCTGTTATGGATACATCCGATCTTCACTTTGCCCTTATTTCTACTTCGTCTTTCATTTGATTGATTTATTATAATAATCCAATTTGAATATTGAGATTCACATTCAGATTTATATTATCTAGAATCTATATAGCCGAAAAATGCAGAATAAAAATCTTCTCGAACACGATGCCTGAGGGCCGCATAACCCAACAACCCCCCAAAAAAAATCTATATAATGGTGCGCCGACGTGAAAAAGCACAGAATACCTGGCAATTAAAACTTTAAGGGTATCTCATATTGCGACTTGGAATTATAGATCCAGTTCCTCGCCGCTGTTCATCAAGCTAAGGAGGCAGTTCCAGCCTGTTTATTTGTTAGTGACTGAAGGAGTATAACTAGCAACACTTGGAAGAAAAGTACTCACCCAAACTGATCACGTTGACAAACAGCAAGCGCAGCTCTACCGGGATAAAGGTAAAGTTGACACCCTGTACAAAGGGCCAGACCATCAGGTTGGCCTTGTAGGCGGGAACAAAGGCAGCCTTCCACCTTTGCACAGGATCAACGCCTTCCATGATAGCCATCGAGGATAGGAAACAGGAGAGTTGGACCGGGGCAAAGAAGAGCTGATCGACGGCAACACGGGCAGCAGTGGTGGACGCAGTGCCCTTGAGAACGACATGGCGCTGGAGGATGCCGAACCAGGTAGTGGCAGCCGGACCGAAGACGACTAAGAGGAAAAGACACTGATCAGCAATGTAGAAGAGACTTGAGAAATTGAAAACATACCTCCACCGTAAAGAGCCATTCGCCCAGTGCGGGCAAAGTCGTGCTTTTGGAGACCTCTCCGGTCAACAGCTTGCTGTGCTAGAACATCACCGCTGCTGAATAGAAACTGTTGTAACAAGGATCAGGAGCTGGTCCAGGGGAAGGGGAAAAGAGAGGTTCGTACGGCACTGGTGATGCTTGCGGTGAGGATGGGCCTTTTCGCCAACTTGGATTGGTACCTGGTTGAAGATTGTTTTGAGCTTCGATTCAAGGAGGTGAGTAGGAAGGGAGACTTACCAGCGTAACATAACTGCAATTGAGTGGGTATGAAAGGCAACACAAGCAGATAAGGATGCAAAGATTTAATGAAAAGCAGAAGAGCAGGGGAAAGGCGCTGAAAATACTATTGAACTGGGGGCAACTGGGGGCAACTGGGGGCAACTGGGGGGAACAATCTTGAAATTGCGGAGTCGAGATTGCCCTGTCGCGTTTCCCAAATAGGAAGTGCATCCGCCTTCAGCAGATTTTGGAGTGACGTAGGGGGAGGAATAACAACATTATGAAGACTCAATTTCGCATAAAGCCCCTGATATATTTTTTAAATATTGCTATAGCTAATGAACTCAACATCACTAGAAAATAAACCTAGTCCTTCCTCTACAGCGACAATGCCCCTCTAAACACCGACGATCAATCGATATACTTCTGGGCCCCGTCAGGTGACACCGCCCTGGAAACTTTAAGTGCACGTGCCACCTTCCCGATCGGGAATTTAGGGCATAGGGTCTCCACTAGGGCTGCCCGCTCGCTTAGCCCACCCGCGCAAATTTCGGGCAAACAGTGCTCAGCGCCGTGAATCTCGACGACCAACTCAATCCCGACAACCCTCCCCGTCGCTTCCCATAACAACATCAATATGGCTGACGCTGCTCCCCGTGGACGTGGTGGTTTCGGTTCGCGCGGCGACCGTGGTGGTGAGCGTGGACGTGGCCGTGGTGGCCGTCGCGGCCGTCGTGGCCCCAAGCAGGAGGAGAAGGAGTGGCAGCCCGTCACCAAGCTCGGCCGTCTCGTCAAGGCCGGCAAGATCACCTCTATGGAGCAGATCTACCTCCACTCTCTGCCCGTCAAGGAGTACCAGATTGTCGACTTCTTCCTGCCCAAGCTCAAGGATGAGGTTATGAAGGTACGGATCGACACACACTTTTTGAAATTGGAGGATTGAGCGGGATTCGACTGGAATGCGACAATTGCACATGATTGCGCAGTGGAAGCTCGAGCGGAGACAACGAATACATCGAAAAAATCAGACCAGAAACTAACGTCAATTTCAACCTACAGATCAAGCCCGTCCAGAAGCAGACCCGTGCCGGTCAGCGTACCCGTTTCAAGGCCATTGTCCTCATCGGTGACTCCGAGGGCCACATCGGTCTCGGAATCAAGACCTCCAAGGAAGTCGCCACTGCCATCCGTGCCGCTATCACCATCGCCAAGCTCGCTGTCCTCCCCGTCCGTCGCGGTTACTGGGGTACCAACCTTGGTGAGCCCCACTCTCTGCCCGTCAAGCAGAGTGGAAAGTGTGGTTCCGTCTCCGTCCGTGTAAGTTTCCTACGGTTGTTTATATCTGGTCTTGATCCTTTTTTTTTGGGACGGCCAGTGATCTGAGGAAATGGTTTCTAATTGACTATAGCTCATTCCCGCCCCCCGCGGTACCGGCCTTGTCGCTTCCCCCGCTGTCAAGCGTCTGCTCCAGCTCGCCGGTGTCCAGGACGCTTACACCTCCTCTTCCGGCTCCACCAAGACCCTCGAGAACACCCTCAAGGCCACCTTCGTCGCTGTCGTCAACACCTACGGTTTCCTTACCCCCAACCTGTGGGCCGAGAATAAGCTCATCCGCAGCCCTCTTGAGGAGTTCGGTGATGTCCTCCGCCAGGGCAAGAAGTACTAGGTTATGGATGATGCATGATTTTTGTTCGACAATTCCAATGGGTTTCTTTTAAAACTTCTCCCTCTGTGCTTGGCGATTAAAAGATGGTTCGTGTGTGCGAGAGACATCTCCGCACCGCTCTGGATGTATTTATCATGGGGAGGGACACAAAATAGCGAAGTCCACGGGCCATTTGCCAGCCATATTGTTCTTTGAGCCGTAGTTGTACTCAGTAGGGCAGTAGGGGTTTTTTTTCACTTGATAGGCATCAGCTTTGCAATGTGCCAATCTATGGTTCTAGCTTGCATCTTTGACATACAGCCTATACTATCGATATGACAAGTGTGCATAGATAGGTTGCCAGGCAGCTCAATGTGCAAACAAACACTAGTCTGGCGTCCAGGCTGTCATGTTTGACATCAGGCCATTGTATACCATCATACATATCCCCAAAGAAAATTTTGGATAGACAGCTCATACCCCAGTTTTATCAGAAGCCTAATATAGACGTTTGATGTATTCACACCGGGGCACATACAAACTGTCACAGTTATGTACTAAGCTATGTTGTAGATACCAGTCCAAGTAAAAGCTGTCTCCATATTTAAGCCACGGGGGACACCGAGAGTATCATCGGAATTCTCCATCCAAGATATATTTAGATCTTGGGAGACATCCTGGAAGACAACCTAGAAAACATCTAAGAAATCAAGAAAGTAACATGAGAGGATGATAGTGATCTCGTATGAATATATATCTCACATCCTCAGGTGCATGTAATATGGGTCACCAAAATAGATTTAGCTCCTTGTACAAATTGCTTCATTTTCATTCTCGTCTCATTTCATTTCATAAGTTCAGCTATATTTCTTGGACTTATTTCCAAATATTGATTGTGAGGGTAGCGTTCCAAGTCATGATGCCACTTGGACTAGGGGCTGTGCCAAAATTCCAATCGGGATTCATCTTAGCCAGAATGACTGCGTTGATAAACTCCAGTAATCAGTTCTGTGGTCAATCCATCAGGTCGAAGGAGGGGCCATTGATGATGTGTTTTGGGGAGACTTGAACTTTGATATGGTTACCTTCGTATACGTCGTTGCGGATTCTGTTCCCGAATGCAGTCGGGGCTTCCTGCGGATTTTGTTCGACTTTGTAGCTGTGGAGAGTATCTATAACCCCGGGTATGCGGGTGAGGTGGGCTTGGGCACTTTTAATACGGCAGCCTTTCGTGCAACAGTGCAGAATATTGAATTCTATCCAACATCCATCTTCCAAGGGTCCTTGCAAGTTGACTAAATAGATGACCTATCGGCTGAAGGATAACTATACCTACTGGGGTTCTTGAGATTAAATAGATAAGCACCATGATCTTGGAGTAAGAAATATCATAAATTATATCCGAAGACTGCACTTTCCTAGAGCTAAGGTGTTTTTACTCTAGCTTTTTGAGCAACGAAGCGAAGGCGAATGTAATTGACAGTAAAAGAACCATCATGTTGCTGTCTGCCAACAGCTTCGAGAACTTCAACGGCGTGTTTGACAGCTGCATCGCGTGCTTCAGTCGTTGGCAGGAGTGCAAGAAAGGGCTCACCAAACAGACAAATCCTATACGCCATCAGGTATAAAGTCAATAGTTTATCAGTGTCAGACCTACCATCCTTCAACACTACCCTTCTCATTCTCCGTCAATGTTGTCTGTCTGAGTTGGATCTCCCCCTTGACCTACTTAAACCCCACTCCTTCAACAAGCTCCTTCATAACCTGCTGTGATGGGAACCACCAAGGTGATGTCTCTCGCGCCTGCTCCACGGGAATACCTTGAGTGACTAGACCGCTGATAATTGCGGAATGTACCTCGGCCATATTCGCTAACGCACCGGACTCATTAACCAGAAGACCACCTGGCTTAAGCGCCTCGAAACAGCCCTTGGTTGTATTGGATCTGGTTTTAGGGTCTCTCAGAATCCAATGCAAGGCGGCGTTCGAAAAGACCTTATCGAAACCTCCGGTTGTGAGGTCGGACTTTTGATCCAGTAGTCGGCAATCGACAACATGCGACTCAATGTGTGGGTAGGCCTTCTTGAAGTGTTCGATCATGTTGGGTGAGCCGTCAATTCCCACGATTCGTTTGACATGGGGAGCTATGCGGGCTGTCAAGGGGCCTTCCCCGCAGCCGATATCAAGAATTTCATCTATTTTGTTAGTTAAGTCTTATGATTATTATCTAGAGACTTACCAGTTGGCTTGGGGTCTAGCCAGGTAAGAACCTTGTCAGTCGAAGTTGCGACGAAGGGGGCCACCTTTTCTCCGTAAAGGTCGGCTGACCAGATGTCTTTTTGCTCTTGCTGCTGCGACATGTTGTCTGTTTCCCCCCACCACTTCTCAGTCCTACAGAACAAACGTAGACTAGAGTTCCAGCAGGTTTATAGCCATCTCAGACGAAGTATGTAGCCCTGACATCGGAATCTTGGATCAATTGAGGTTCTGGGGGTGGACCGCCGGATGTCCGTCGCGGGCCGTCACTAGCCAAAACCTAAACGGATAAGCGGATCGGCGGGTCCGGCATCGGCGAGTCTTAGGCATTTTGGGGCTTGGTGATAGCCGTGAACAGCACCCTCGGATCCGCCCTTCCAAGCGGTGCGATAGATTCCATCGTGGCCGACTTTAGCATAAAAAACCAGCAACTGCTCGTACTGCCGCTGACTACGTGCCTGATTGGATATGTTATTGGGCCTGTTATTTTCGCTCCATTGTCAGAGACATATGGCAGGCGTTTAGTGGTGATATGGACATTCGCAGGATATACAATCTTCACTCTCGCTTGTGCTGTTGCACCTAATTTTGCGGCTATTGTTATCTTCAGGCTATTTTATGGTATCTTTGCTTCTTCGCCAACTGCGGTCGTGGAGGGTTGTATGCAGATATCTTTCCTGATCCTAGGACAAGGGGAGGATCGATGGCTGGATTTATGGCTGTGAGACAACTACATCTGACCACATTTGTGGTCAAAGTATTTACTTGAATAGGCTACAACACTCGGCCCTACATTAGGACCGATAATCTCTGGTTACATCTCTAATATTTGTTGGAGATGGACGTTTTGGATTGGGTTGATCATCGCCGGAGCTTCATGGCCTGCGCTGATATTTCTCCCAGGTAAGGGATTTGATTATAACCACGCATCGTAGCTGATATAGTGGACAGAAACCTTTCGTCCTGTATTGCTTCGAAAACATAATAAGATTCACAATATCACATCTGCCGATGTGAATCTCGCTACTCTCGGTGCTAAGGCGAGGTGATCCTAGAACTATTACTTATTATGGTAAACTTCATCTTAAGATCGATAAACTCAGAAAAGCAATTTCTTATATAGCTACAATGACAGTTAGAATGGTTTACTAAATACGAACTAAACCTTGATCATCCTATCTGATGACTACAGAGACGCCTGGTTTTCCCCAACTCGAATGCACAATTGAGGATGTCCTCGTCTGCCTCGTATACGTACCTTTCTGGGAATTCATGTCCAGTATGATGAGCTGTGTAGCGTGCTGTTTTGGTGGATCTCGGTCTAGGCTGTGTCACGTCGTGGTCGACGTGTTAGGGCTAGTAGAGCTGGTCCGCGATGCTTTTATCATCATTTTGCTGCTTCGTCCTAGGCCTGGGAATTTAAAATGATACAAAGTATTTTTCTAATGGCGTCAAAACAAATATAAGGGCGAGCGCGCAGAATTGAACCGGAGCCCTTGATCTCGGTCTCGGCGGGGACTACTTGCGAGAATGGTACCTGCCATGAGTGCTCGTTAACGCGACGACAGCACACTTGGGAAGAACACATGGGAAGTACCCTTCTCTCATCCGACTTCTCGTTCCTCCCATGCTCCTCCCACGTTCCTATTATCCTTCAGGTACTTATTTTCATCTATTTCTCATTACTATCAATCCAAAATCAGTATGGATAACCTCTACAAGCGTTCGCTACGTGAACAATGGGACGCCAGCCTCATGGGAGCACCGTTTTGGGAGGGTGTGACTCAAGACACCCAGGAGCTTGTTGGAAGTGAGGAACAAGGTATGTGTTGACGTGTGCTGCATCATTTTTATAGTGATTGCACTACATATAAGCGACCCGGTTGATGTATACTTCGTGCTAACAATCTCATCTCTACTTAGCCCTAACTGGTCAATTGCCACATCAAAGCCCTACGCAGTTGCCTTCTAAGAATCCTGTTCAGACTGCAGTCACAAGCTCTCCCGAGAACAGTCCAAAGAAGAAGAGTCACTTCCAACTCTCTCAACTTGCCTCTTTCAATAGTCTCCGACTCCGAAACACCATTCACTCTTCCCCCGCAGGGACCGACACTACAACCTCACCCGAGAAGAGCCCGACAAAGAGTGAGAAGAGTTCAAAGAAGGGTAGCTTACGTCTTCCAAGACTACCTTCCTTTAAGAATCTCAGTCTCAAGCGCAGAGGTCCCATCCTCGCGTCAACTGAGGGTATTGTTGAACTCCAGAAGCCTACTCGTCCTTCAATCCTATCTCCTTCTACTTTCCTCCCACCTGAGTCTCCTCTTCCCCCCATCCCCAACACTCCCCGCCCTGCTTTTCGGTCTCTCTATAGAGGACCTTCGGCTGCCAACTTAGATATTGCACCCCCCAACCCTTCTGAGGGCTTTCATCCCTTTCTCACAATTTCTCCGAGCCGTCCCAGAATTATCAGTTTTCAAGAGTGGCTTGAGAGAGAAAGTAATCCTCACCCTGAAACTGTAACCACTCCTCACCCAGCTCGCAGTTCTCGCATCAGCCTGATGGCCCACCTCAACGATGGTGGTACTTGGGATACTATCCCTCGCACCCGTTCAGTCCTAGAACTGAACATGTTTTTCGACGCTCGCAAGGTCTCGCCTAAGAGCCTTGTTGATCTCGATGATGATCAGAGTGTTGACCAAGGTGCCATGGTCGACAAAGCTACTATGACCGACCCTGGCATCGACTTTTCTAACATTACCCCCACCGCCATGGTCGACAAGGTCACCATGACAGGCTTCGACACCGAGACCGCTGCCACCGACAAGGCCACCATGGCCGAACTCGACATTGGGGGTTCTGCCACCGACAACCTGCCCGCTGACAAGGGCACTGCTGAGACTGATGTCAGCACGGAGTGTGGTACCAACGAGCTGACCACCGGTGACCACCTGGCTACTGAGGCCACCGAAGACCGCGGAGCTCACTACTCCGTCAAGAAGTCATCAGAGGAGATCAGAATCTCCATTCTCACCCTGGAGCAAGTGCGGCCCTTGCTCGAGTTCTGCAACCTGCGTGTGCTGAAGCTAGTTGGTATGATGAAATCATACCAGCCTATCATCTGGCAGACGGTGTGGTTGAACCCCCAGCTCACCACTCTCGAGCTGGAGATGGCAGTAGGCTTGGACATCAACAAGCCCGTGGGTCCAAGTGGGTGGGCGCCCATCAAGAAGGGATGGGTGATGAATGTGAAGTCGCGTGCAGCCCCCGTTTACTAGTGAGTATTACCAAACTGAGAGTTATCTGAAAGTGAGAAATGTGACATATGCTAACCTAACCGATTTGTAGTGGCCAAGGCGGCGGTGAGATCTCGAGAAAAATCGGGTACGGCGAGTACCTTGATAAGTACTGCATCGAGAAGGGAAAGATGCTGGCCCTCTGCACCGGTTTCCCCGTCCCCCCCTCCCTGCCGGTCAAGCACCTCACCTTGACCGGCTTCGCCGTGGACGGGGACCCGTTCGGGATGTGGTTTTGGAACCTCGAGGAGGTTCACTTCAAGAAGGACTGCATCGACTGCGGTTTCTGGTTGTCTCGCGCCCAGCGAGACGTCCGAGTTCGTCACTCGGACGAGTTTGGAGTGGCCCGGGGCGAGGACGGGCCCTCCGTGGCTGGCTCCACCGAGGAGCTCGGCGAGGAGGTACTTGCTGACCTCACCGCTGCGGTGGGAGGCCTGGGGGCCTCGAGGATGTGAACGGACGGTGTCCGTGTTCATTGGCGGCGGCATGCTCACTAGAGCCTTCCCCAGGGAGCTCTAGTGAGCATGCCGCCAGGGAAATATCATCATTCTGTTGTGTACGTGTAAGAAAAAAAAGGGATTTGTTCGAGTCATTCTTGCTTCTTATGTAGAGTACGGAATAGATGGAATACATGTAGAGTAGTAGGCACAACCAAAAAGTAATCAATATCATCATGCTCATACCTCATACCTCATACAACTCTCACCAAAACAAATGAAACTAAGAGAAAGGTGAAACTGACCCGCAAGTAGGAGAGATCTGATAGTCAGTTAAAAGAAGAACAGAGAGAACAAACATCCTGTCGCCTGAATTCCAATCTGAATGTAGGTGAAAAAAAGTAATTTCCTTACGCGCCCTCTTCGTCGGAGATGCGAATAGCGCCCTCGTTGCCGACACCATGGGACCAGAATCCTTCCATGTAGAGCGCACTGCAGCAATTAGTATGCCATCTCATACAAAATTTCAGGTGGAAACTCACATTCCAGACGCGCTCTCATGAGACAATAGAAGCCAGTATCCAAGAACACCTTGCGTAAAGACGTCCTGTATAGCGAAGAGGATGGTCTCGGTGTCAACGCTCAACCTAAGCGCAAGAGCCCCAGCCGCGAGGGAACTACCCAACATTAGCATTCGCCTTGAACCGACTTGAGGATATCCTTCTAGACATATAACTCACATAGGGAATAGAGCTAGCATTGCAATGGCGGACCCAGAAATAGAACCGAATAACCGTCTTGTCTGAGCATCCTTGCTCTTTGCCGCTCGCTGCGCGTGGAAGCCTACATGGTGGATCACGACCAGGTATGAAATACACGTGAGGGTCAGCCAGACCCAGCGCTCGGGGCCGTGGCCTGCAAATATGCCGAATAGAGCTGTCGCCAGCATGGTCAGGTGGGCGACAGTGGCGATAAGTAGGTTTGCGCCTGGTAGGCCGGATAAAAGGGCGAAGTTGATAAAGAGCAGAGGTGTTGTTAATGCCCAGTTTACATAGCGCAGCCATAGGACTTGGCGGATGTAGTCTGTGTGTGTGTCTGGGACATGTTCATGGGACTCGTAGACTATGGTGTGTTTGGTTGTGATGCCTTGACCGGTTGAAAGGGCTAGGTAGATTATGAAAGAGATGGTGGTTATGAGGGAGGTTAGAATATGGAAGATTCGTTTAGACTGGGTAGATATTAGATATCTGTAGATCATAGAGGGGATGTATAGGGTAGACTCACTAGAGGAGCACGAGCGGCCAGAGTATAGAACACCAGCGAGGAGATGCCCATCAACACAGTGACAACCCTATAAATGTTAAAATCATGAAGCATTCAATATAAATTACAATGTGCACATACCATAGAGTTCGCTTGCCCACATCATGAAGTTCCTGGTAGACTTCAGACCCCGGAATGACAGTGGGAATAGGCGCCACTGAAGATGTGGTGGCGGGGGCCGTTAGAGTAGCAAACTGATCAAATGGAGGTTGAATCATGTTGAATTAAGGATGATAAGTGAAAAGGAGAAGAATAAGAAAGCGAAGAAGAGAAAAGCAAGACTATATGAATAGCATGACGATTCAATGTTGCATGAAAGCAGGATTGGGGGATGATTGGGACAACCGTCATTGACTAGGTACTGTCGTCATAGCCATAACATTCAACTACTTGAATTAAATACACTTGAAAAGATGTATTTACATGGATTATTTTCTTTCAGCTTGGTTTTTAATTTAAATGTTTGGTGTTCTAGATTATTGGTTGCACTGCAGTTGCTAAATTGGCCGCTATGGTCCAATCATGCAACCCTGGAGATGATCGATATAATACATGAGAAATAAGTATACAAACTTGTGCAGTGATCTAGGCGTTTGCCTCATGTATCACTGTATCACACCGGTCGCAGATCGCATTTTCGATCGCCACCGGCTCCGGAATGGCGTACCGCCAGCACCGTGGGCACTTGGAGGCCTGTGGCGCGTAGATATAGACCTTGCCTGGTTGGCCACCCAGCTCAAATGTCTCCTCATATTGCCATTCAGCATCCTTGATGTCGGCTGGGAGTGCTTCACTGTGGGATCCAAGGGTGATAGAAGACACAACGAAGAGATCAGGGAGCTCGGACAGATACTGCTGGAATAAACCAGAGTTGGTGGGGAGCACAACGTGGACAAAGGATTGCAGGGAGGAGCCAAGCTGCTTTTTACTACGGGCCTGCTCCTGCAAGTTCTTGATGGCGGAGTGGACCACCGTCAGCTCCTGGTAGCTGGTGTTCAGGGCTAAATCCTGCCACTCCGGAGCTGGGGCGGAAATAATACGCTGCAGGGGGTGCTCAGATTGGGTGCGGATAGACTCGGGAGTATGTTCCCAGGTTTCTTCCACAAGCACAGGTGTGATAGGACCCAGTGTCTCTTGAAGATGATTGTAGATGTAGAATAAGGTCGTTTGTGCGGCCCGACGACTCGTGCTATCTTCACCAAGGGTGTAAAGTCGGTCCTTGATCGCCTCCATGTAGAAAGCAGAAAACTCGAGGTTGGCCCACCGGTTCATCGTGCTCACGCCCTTGTAGAACTCGAAGTTGTCATATGCCTTCTGCGACGCGAGTACCATGTCCGAGAGGTGCTTGAGTGCAATTCGATCGACCAGCTGCAGCTGCCCGTATGGGACAACGTTCTCTGGGCGGAAATCGGCGAGGGCACCCAGCAACAACTTGAAGGTGACACGGAACTTGTGGAGACTAGTGTTGACAGTCTGGAGTACCTGTTTGCCAATCACCACGTCGCGCGTGTAGTCGCTGCTCGCCGCCCACATGCGAAGCGCATCGGGGCCAAGAGCGTCGTACACGGGCTCTGGGTTCTCCGGTTGCTTCTTTCCTTTGCCTTTGCGGGGTTTAAGAGGAGGCAGCAGAGTTCCATCCATGATGGTCTGCGGGTACATCACATTGCCAATGGACTTGCTCATTTTCCGCCCATGTTCATCCAGGGTGAAACCGTGGGTGATGAGATGCTTGAACGGAGCACGAGGCGTTGTGGGTTGACCCGAGCCGAGCTGGTGTGAGATATACGTGAGAAGCCCAGACTGGAACCAACCACGGTGCTGATCAGTACCTTCGAGATACACGTCCGCTGGATGACTCCGACCTTCCATAGGAACATCGATCTCTGCCCAGCTAGTACCACTGTCAAACCAAACGTCCATGGTGTCCGTTCCACGTCGATACCCCGCTCCAGCCTCCCCCCGCAAGGACGGAGGAATCCATGCAGCATCATCCGCACTGTCGGTCCACCAAGCATCAATTCCCCGCTCTTCAATTGTGGCCATGATATGTGAAACACTATCTTTAGTCAAGACGGCCTCTCCAGTGGTCCGGTGATAGATTGCAGGAATCGGAACACCCCACGCGCGCTGACGCGAAATACACCATTCACTCCGATTTTTCACAAAGTTCTCGAGTCGGTGCTTGCCAGTTTCTGGGACGAACCGGACATCTTCCAATGCTCGAAGAGCACTGCTGCGGATGTCAGCCACATCGGCAAACCACTGCTCCGTTGCTCGAACAATGATCGGAAGCTTTGAACGCCAGTCGTAAGGGTACTTGTGCTCGTACTTATGTTGGGCAAGCAACTGATCACACGATTCTACCCATTCCAACACTGCGGTATTACCTTCGCCCAAGACAGGCTTTCCGGCTAAACGTGTAGGATCGAGGGGCATGGCTTTGTCTGTGAATTTGCCCTCGTCGTTGACGGGAGCGAACACAGGAATGCCACGTGCAAGACATGCTTCGTAGTCATCCATTCCGTGACCAGGCGCGCAGTGAACCATGCCAGAGCCAGAATCAGCAGTAACAAAGTCCGCAGCGAAGATGGGCTGTGGCCGAGCTTCGGCTCCTTTGAATAGAGGTCGATACGTAGTTTGCTCTGCCAGCTCGGATCCCAGGATAGACGGCACAATAACAGAGAGATCTTCTTTCAGCATACTCTGAAGATACTCGAACCGCGACTGAGCGATAAGAAGATGGCCATGTTTTTCCGACAAGACAATAGTGTATTCCAAAGACTCGCTGACTGCAATGGCAGCATTGGCAGGCAGCGTCCAGGGGGTAGTAGTCCAAATCACAGCACTGATATCCTTTCCACGTAGAAGAGGATTCTCAGATAGACACGTGGGGATATCGACAAGAGGGAACTTAACCAGAGCGGCCGTCGAAATATGATCATCCTTGTATTCCAGTTCTGCTTCCGCGAGAGCGGTACCCGTTGAAGGTGACCAGTAAACCGGCTTGAACTTTCGGTAGATGAGGCCACGGTCCACCATTCCCCGGAAAATACCCAATTGTCGCATCTCGAATTGTTTATCCATGGTCTTCCAGTGGTTCTCCCAGTCGGCCATGACCGCGCAGCCGCGGAACACTTTCATCTGCTCCTTCACAGTTTGTCTTGCCAATTTTCGCGCGGACGTGCGAATAACGGCCGCACTGACTGATCCGCTTGCGATGTCCTCGGCTCGCAGGCCTTGAAGCGCTTTGAGCTCGATTGGCAGTCCATGACAGTCCCATCCCGGCACGTACCGCACCCTCTTCCCGCGACCCAATTGTATGCGACAGATGATATCCTTCAAGATCTTGTTGAGCGCATGTCCGACATGGAGGTCGCCGTTCGCATATGGTGGACCATCATGCAAGACGAATGGTTGGTCGGTGGGCCTTTCGCGGCGTTGCCAGGCGTAGAGATCATCGGTGCATCGTTTCAGGTATTTCGTCCGATCGACAGCCGATACGCGTGGAGGGAATGAGGATTTAGGAAGTTTCAACGTCGATGTCCATGAGCGAGGGATTGACCGCGCCAGTTCGGGCATTGTCCAGCATATCCTAGAAAATGCTAAGTGGGAGGTTAAGAAGAGAAGAGTCTTGGCGTTTTACAAAACAATGGCTTCTTCCTAAAAGGGTTTAGATTCCGCCCTGCACTTGTCGTCTAAAATCCCCTGAGTCAACTACAACTGTTGTAGTAAGGGTCATCAAGACGTTTAGTCCTCTACATATTTGATTTCTATTGGATTCTTTTTTTGTCAAGAGTTTTACAGTAGTCTTTGTGCAATCCAAGACGGTCGGCGTGAATTCCAGCCTCGTCTTCGTGGGAGCAGATAATTAGCTGACGGAAATCACCGGTACAGCAATGTATGGTCAAAATGACA